TGGAACTGCAAGTCTGCTGACATATAAAGTTATTCCCAAACGTGTCCTGACATTAATGCTTTTCCTAAGTGCTCCTGATGAAAATCACATCAACATGGAGAGAGTTGTTGAAAGGCCATGAAATCAACAGAACTTGCAGGTGTGGTTGCTCTTAAGAGTTCCAGATGGAAAGACTGATTTACCAGTTCTGTGGTATGAAAACTGCCTTGCAAGTAAGGATGTGCCCTCAGTTCCTGTGCAGATGTTGCAAGCAGTACTTTATGTTCTTTGTGCTGTGTGTCAGGATACCTGCAAAATGCAGCTTGCTGAGGACACGTGATTTTTGAGTTGTCTTATTTGGGGGAAACAGGTCACCTCTTTAGCCTCATCTGGTAGACAAAGCTTCCAGGACTATGCCTGGTCCAAGAATCAGCTTGTATTCCCCAATTTTACCCATGCAGTTTTCTGTTTAGCGGCCTTCAGTGTCCTGAAAAGTGGCAGATAGCAACACCACCTTGCCCTGAGAGAGAAAGAGGGACTGCCGCTGTCAGGAAGACAACATGGGAGCAACTCACCTGTAAGGAAGGACATTCAGTGATGCAACTGAGAGGCTAAGAAATGTTCGCTCAAGCACTCTTGGGGCTGTGATTGAGCCAAACCAGCCCAGACCACGTGGTGGCAAAAGGAAAAAATCTTTCCTACTTCCTTCTGCTCCGCATCATCATGTAGAATCCTCTTGTTAACCAATAAGCGCAGCAGGGCAAATAACTGCAAAGAAGGCTTTTATAGTGAAGTTAAATAGCCCCTTGCTCAAATCTCTGTTATTGACCTGAGCTTAAAAGCCTCTGTATCTCTAATCTCTACCAAGTGGGTACTAGCTTGCCAGGGATTGGCTGTCATTTCCTAAGTACTGCTATTCTGGAACTTCCTAGCTCCAATGTACTGCAAAAATTCCTTGCATTACCTTAAAAAGGCCATGAGAAGGCACCAGTATGCACACGCCCTTTGCTTCTGGTCTGGAGCCCTGGGCAGAGGCTGCTCCTCTGACCACAGCTGAGCTGAGTTAGATGGTTGTTCCCCAGATGTTTCTCACCACCACTCCCTGTTAGGGGTGACGCAACGATGCTTGTAGCTGCTCCCCAGGTCTGTTTTGTCAAACTGATGTCAAGTTTTGTTACGCTGATCCTGTGGGGTTTTTTAACCTGAAGACTTAATGTTCCGGGTGTGCTGACAGCTGGAGACAGCTGCATTCCCTATTAGTTTGGATCAGCTACAGCAATGAACTGCTGAGGCAAATACTTCCTTCCTCTTTGTCTCCTCCTGGCTAAGCTCAAAAGGGTGGAAACTCGGCATGTCAAGGGGGACCTTTGTCTTACCCTAGCACTGGCGACGGAGAGATGCACTGGAGAGCAAATCACTAAGTGTTTCCTACTCTGGTCTGTTCTTGTCAGTGTGAGCAAGCAGGAGAGGAGAAGGGGAGCAGAGGGTTGGGGGTGGCTCACACTTGGCCAGGCAGTTCCTGGGCCTGGGTGCTGACTCACCAGCCTGGAGGACTTCCACCACCACTTAGTATACCTGGGAGAGGAAGGGGGAGCCTGCACGAGTGGAGACTGGCACGCTCCAAGGCAGGGCGTGCATGCCACTCACCCACATATGTCTGTTCAGGCAGTATCCCTGGAAATATGTATAGATGCACAGCAGCCGCTGCCTGCTGGGTCCTCCTGATCTTCCAGAGAGCTATAGAGGTTAAAAGTGACATCCAGGCAGGGATCTGACTTTTCTGGAGATCTTGCCCTCTGCCCTTTCTTCCTGGTCTGCTGTGCCAGCGTGGGGGCCTCCTGCTGAGGCAGAAGGCCATTTGCTCCCAATGTGTATGGCCCTTTGGTGGTCAATGAACTTGGACATGGGGAATTTGATGTAGAAGAGATTGTCCTCCCACTTCACAGCCTGGTCTCAGGGGAAGAGGAATCCTGTGTTTCTCAGAGAAACATTCCTCATCACCTTCAGCCCTGCCACATCCCTGTGTCCCAGTGCAGGGGAGAGAGCCAGGTGGGACTGGGAGAGATGCTGCAGGCAGCGCCTAACTGGGGACTGCTAAGCTGTGCTTGTGTCTGTTTTAAAGCAGAAGGTCTCGTTTTGTACATGTCATCCCTTTGTCTCCTCCTTTCCAAGGCTGTACTGAAAAGGTATCACAGAAATATTGCCGCATTGTGCACAGCAATACAGTATGCCAGGCCATGGAGAGCAGTCCATATGGCAGCCTGTGCTAACTGTCACCGCTATTAACTTGACAAAATGGCTTAATTTCCACCCTAATTACATGTGTTTGCTCTTCTCCAAATCATTTTGTTTTTCACTTTTAAAATCCTGATTTGTTGGTGAGGAGCACAGACGTTGGTTCACAGCTTGCCAGGCACGAAAGACAACATTTTTGCGTTGCTTCTGACAGGGCTGTGCCTGACTGTACATGTGATGCATCAACATACCATTATCGCTCCTTGAGCTCTGGAAATCCTAGGGTTGTGTTTATTAATGCTGCCTTCTGCAGCTCACACCTATGGCCTCAAAGGGGCAGTCTGCATGTCCTGCCTTCAGCCTCACCTTTTAGCTACAGTAGCAGGAAGAGAAATGGTTGCTCACAGCCAAGCAGTGACCTGTTGCAGAAGCAGGATAAATGAAAAATTTTGGGCTCCCTTGGAATAGGTGGAGAGAAACTGGATCATGAAGGTGAGATGGGATATGGGGAGTCTATATGTGAACTGCATCATGAAGGTGAGATGGGATATGGGGAGTCTATATGTGAATGAAGATGGCAATAGGGAAGAGGAACCGAACCTGGAGAAGTGCCACACAGGCATGTAATGAGGATGGGGGATGGAGAGGGAATGTATGAGAGCAGGAGGAAAGCTAGAAGATTTGGGAAAATTCTGGGATGAAGATAGCTGTATTCATGTCTGAAAATCACTTGAGGGATTAGAAGTGGATCGGCAAGAGCAGCAGGGAGAAGAAGCTTACAAGTGAGGACAAAATGAGAATAGCTGTAAACTACAAGCTATAAGCATGGAAATTATCTCTGCTCAATCACACCTGCTGTTAGTGGGGAAGGAAACAGGCAGGAGAGGAAAGATCAAAATGCCAGCTAGAAGAAAGTCAAAACAAAGGGAAGGAGAACTGAAAGTGGAGCTGGTGCCCCTCTAAAATCAGCACCAGTCAGATGGTTTGAGTTTCAGTGGGCTTGCTTTCCATAGTGGTCCCACTTTCTCCATCGACAATGGAGATGAGCAGGGGGCTCTCCTGTAACTGGGGGTTTAAATATATCATGGGTGAGAAACACTTCTGTCTCTTTCCCATAGTGATGGGACATGGCTACGCATGCAGTCAGCCATATGCTGAAAGCAACGAGAGCTGCAGGTCTACTCCAGTGCTAGCGGGCTCTCAGATTTCTAGGGGAATTTCTGTACTCTTTGTCCCTTGATGTTACACCTGTGCAGAGCACAAGATTTTATAGCGAAGACTGCTGAGGTGTGACTTGCTGCCCAAATTGGCATGCAGTATCAAGACAGTCACATTGATTGCACCAAAACCCGTGCACAGTAGAGCCCTAGAGCACATCCTTCTCCTTGCAGGGACAGCGGTGCCTCTGGGAGGTTCACAGGTGAGATAGGTTAGGTCCTGTGATGCCCAGGAAGAGCTGCCTTGGAATTTGTGCTCTCTCAGGTAAATTCAGACACACCTGGGCTTCAGAAATCACAGTGAAATGAAGATGCTTTGAAGGTTTATCTGGGGAGAGGAGAAGGGTGCAGGAATTCTGCATTTGAAGAAGAGTTAGTTTATGTTACAACAACTATTTCAACATTGTGCTAGATGTGTATCTGAATAGGGGAAAGTCTGCCCCAAGTGCTGGAAGATCAAAATGTGGACTACTACATGAGTGACAGTGACAAATGATGTTGGATCGTATCACAGCTGGAGTTGTAGTTTTGGAACAAATCATGCAAAACCTGTGAGGTGGTGCTGGGAAGTGAGTTCTGCCAGTCAAAGTATTCTAGGGTTGGGTTCTTAACCCCATTGTTTTTTTGTGTTTGAAGATGCAAGTCTCTGTGCTTGTTTGGCCCTGCTAGGGCTTCTGTGTAAATGACTTGACCTAACTATACCATAGCCCAGGGAGTGGACTCCTCCTAACCTTCAGCCTCATCCACTCCAGCTCATTAAGTGGCCCTGGCTGTGTTCTGCCATTTGGGAGTGCTCGAATGGTTGCTGAGCCGTCAAGGTGTGGGGCTGTGAGCTGGGTGCACTGGAAGCCACAGGGACAAGGCATTTCTGATCTGCAGAGTGCTAAGCTGGGAATTTCAGTAAGGATTGATAACACAGCCTGGATGATTGCAGAGACAGCTGTCTGGCAAGGCTTAGAAGGGGCAGAAATCATAGTGGGTAAGTGGGAATTGCTTGTCACCGTTACCAGGCAGGAAGAGACATTGACAAGGGGCAGGACTATCTCAGATCTGCTTGCTGTGAGATCTGTTGAGCTGGCTTCAAAGGACTTTGCGCAGGCATGGCAGCACAGGGCATAACAGACTCACCTTGATACTTTTTGCATCACACACTGGGGCTCTAGGTCTCTGTGCCTAGGCAGCAATGGAAGTGAGTGCAGCTTGAACAGAGCAGAGAGGTACCTTTCCACCTTCAGAAGGGACTGAACAAGTGTGTAGGCACCCCTGCAAGGGCAGAGGTGTCTGTCTCTTCCTCCTTCTTTTATCTGCCCCAAGTGCAACCAGCTCTTGGGGACTAGTACTCTGTAGCTCCAGACATCATCTCTCCTCCAGCATCTGTCAGAGTGGTCCACAGTGGGGAGCTTGGACACTGTTTCTGTTGTGGCAAAGCTGACTTCAGGCAATGGCCTGGGGGGAGTGGAAGAGGGAGGAACCTCTCTCACTCTTTATTCTGCATCTTTAAGGTTACAGGCCTCAGGCTTCACCAGGAGGGAAGTGCACCATCCTCACACTGTTTTGCATGAGGTGACATGTGGCAGAGCAGACCCATGTAAGTACCAGCCTCAGCAGTGCAGAGTTTCAGAAGCAACATGAAGGATAAAGTCTCTGCCACCCAGCAAAAGAGCTTTGCACACTATTGTGGATGGCGCCATCATGCCTGTGGAAACCAGAAGCAGAAGATGGCAGACTTCCTTGCTTAGCATGGCAATTTCTCTTTCTTGACAAAACACCACAACGCCATCTCTGTTTCGCAGGGACATTCGGTGGCCACTTCCAGCATGTGGTGAGTCAGCAGCACCCTGAGTGCCATTGCCCAGTTCTTTCTTATGCAGGTAGAGCAACACTTTGCAAACAGCCCCTGCCTGCACGGAGGCAGAAACACGCTTTTTCTCTCCAGACACATAAAGTAACTGAGACTTCTATTTTGAAGAAAAGTCTCAAGAGTCAAACGGCTGAAACTTCCCATCATCTATGCTCACATACACACATTAGAACTGGATGGAGATACAAGGCCACTCAAGTAGTTGGTTTTTAGCAAGTAAATGATTTTACTAGTTCTAATGGAAACATACTGAAGCACTTGATTCGATCGATATATGCATCCACTATGCATCGTCTCGATATATGCATCCACTGAATATAAAATGCTGTACTTTGACTTGTGGAAACATTTTCTCAGTGTTTGCTGTATCAGTGCTACATAGGTGAGCATCTTTTATGGAGGAGGAGGAGAAGACAGATATTTGTTGTGTTTATAGGAGACAAAAATGTATCTAGTTCTGAAGGCGGTTTATCAAATGCATCACTCTAATTACACTGTTTCCTGTGTTTCTTCACACTCGTGTCGGGAGGCGGTGAAAAACTGAGAATGACTGTGGTTGGAAACACACAGCAGAGTTCTGTTTAGCAGCAGTTCAGCATCCATTAATCAAAGCAATGCTCATGCCTTAGTGGCAATTGTGACATTTAAATTCCCATCCCAGTTTGATGGAACTCAGTCCCGAAAATAAGAGTTGCCAAAATTACTTCCTGAGTCAAGATGGTAACACCACACCAGTAGCATATATAATTTCAAGTAGTTTTTTACAAGTTCATATCATTAGGAGTCTGCTGCTTGTTTCCCTGTGACCTGGAATATCCTCCTTGTTGTATAACTCTGAGAGCACAATTGCTGTCAGCCCCTAGCGTCGTCATCCGCGTGATGGTGAAGCTGCATAAATACCAAGCTGCGCCCAGCAAGAGTTTTGACAGATCCCATAGATGTGTGTCTGAGCCCAACACAGCAATGGCGGGTGAGCTTCTGTGGTGAATGAAGAGGATCTGGTGTCTTAGCGCCCTGGAGAAATGTAGAACGTTTTTGCCATTCCCATTTCCTTATCATATCTCCAATAAGAGAAAAGCTTAGACAGTGATTTGCACATGGCTACTGTCAGACAGTGATGCTAACAAGGGAGAAAGCCCCATTTCCCCATGTGCTTCCTTTTAATCTGGTAGCTTTTATGGTCTCTGGCATATAAGAAATAAATAAGAACACTGGAAGTAACATTGGAGAGAGTGGGGACTCACCTTCCCCCCAATCCTTTGTTTCTCATGAACGCTGCAGCTGATGCGCTCTGTAAAATGCAGGCAGTGAACAGGAAGCTTGTGATGACTGAGAGAGGTGCTACAAAGGAGACAGGTGCTGAACTCCTATCCACAAAATGGATCATCTGAAGCATTCAGCACCTATAATAGCACCTTGCAACAGCGGAGAAGCTTATGTCAAACAAAACATTTTTGTTCATGATTAACTGAACACAGCTTGTAAACTGAGATAACTTTGAAGGATTTATAATTTGGTTGTTGCCAAATTCTGGCTAAAATGGCTTAACTTTTGAACTAGAACATTATCGAAATCAGTTATCAAGTTAGACCAGTCTTTTTGAAAAGCATCAAAGAAGGCATATTGGCAAAGAATGCACAGAAGAGTCCCTAAATCTGGGGTAAAAGCTCAATTTCTGTCTTGTCGGCATGATTCGTCCCAGAACGAACCAGAAGCAGACAGTTGCTCTGTGAAACCAGTGCCTAAAACAAGATTTAGGGAAAAAATTTCAGATATTGAACTGGAACAGATGGACTATTATTAATGTACCTCCTGTGTTTCTCTATCACGTGTTCTGAAGAGGATATTGAATAATGCAAATCTGTAGACCCCTTCCTAACTGTTGACTGTGCATAGGACAGCACTGAATCAATACAGTGTGTGGCAAATGTGAATATCTATCTTGGCTGACACATGGCAAAGTTGTTTTTTCAAGGCCACATCTGGGGTTACTAACTTTGCTATAAACACCAGACTGAGTTTAAGGGACTACTACTTGCAGATAGGAAATGGTGGCATCTGTGTTGTTTATGCCGACATCGAAGGATTGCTGGGGTTTGCAACAGGTAGGTAAGTGCGTCTGGGGCCTGTGTGCCCAGCCTGGGGACAGAGAAGGGCACTGACCTCTGCTTCACTGCTTCACCCAGCTCCTAGCAACAGGACTATGGGATTGGGGATGAGGCTGTGAGATGGATGGAGGGCTCAAGGTCAAGGTGATGATGAGATCAGGGGTAAAACAGCACTATCATGAGTAAAGGCAGACACCAAGTGTCTGAGTTTTGATTGTTGGTCTCAACATCCTAATTTCAAGGAGAGACTAAAACAGTGCTACTGTTTTGAGTCCCTTCACAGTGCAATTGAACAGTCTGAGGGGATGCTGAATTTCTGCTGTGGTGGAGGTGTTATGCTTACCCTCTTTGCTCTCTCTTCTGCAGCTGTGGCTGACGTTTGCTCCTGTGGCTGATAAGACAGCTGCCTACTTCCACATTTCCCTGGAGATGATCAACTGGCTCTCGCTAGTGTACCTTCTCATCTCAATCCCGTTTGGTCTGGTGGCAACATGGCTCCTCGACAGCATGGGGCTCAGATGTGCTGTGAGTTGAACTGATTTGTTACCCCAAGGGCCTTTAACCCAGAGACAGCAATGGTGACATCTCCACGTATTTAGCTGTACAAAGCACTAGCGTGCATACTGCGAGTGAGAGACTTGCCAAACAGTGCAGAGGACAAGTGTGTTGAAAGCTCTGCTCTGGTTTGGCAATAGCTGCAACCTCACCTCTGAGGTGCGAAATAGAGGGAAAAGACAGAATACACATTGAAAGACATAAGTAAGGTTTTCTCAAGGCAGCATAAAACTTTTCCTTATGACAATGCATGATGAGAATCCCACTGCCTTGCCTAACTTCTCAGCTGACTTACTGTGTCTGAGCCCTTTGGAAGGGCATGCCAGAGCAGATACGTAGCGCACTCACATTGCTTTTAATAACGCTTCATGTATATCCTATTATGGGTCAGAACTTCCAAAGTAGTTGACTCCTCAATGAAAGGTTTTATGGATTCATTCCCTGTGTAACTTCTGTGACACACAAGTCTTTAAGTTTCTCACTTCTGTAGTTCAGCTGCCCTTGGCACCAAAGACCCCTCTGCTACTGTTGAACTTGTACACTAGTTGCCTACCAATGGTAAAAATAGATGTTGCTTTTGGATGAACCTTTTTGACCTTAAAGGAGACAGCCCTCTAGAGGGATAGAAGAGCATTAACAGCATCTGTGCACTGAAGGACTCATTGCCATGATCTTTGGATGGTCACAGCAACATATGGGTGATGGTGCAAACTCAAAAACAGAGTGAAACAAGCGAACTTTGGATTTCTCAAAGATTCCATAGCAGTATCTGCTGTTTCAGATAAGCTATATTCTAATGGAGTTGTCTAAAAATGTCCCTGAACTTTTAAAGTTACAACAGTGCCTTGCAGTACCTGCTGAAGTTCTGTCTGTTGAGTTTTACGATAAGATCATCTTTTTTTTTTTTTTTTTCCCAGTGAGGCCACAACTTGTTGAGATTAGCCAGACCCCAAGATTACTCACTGTATGATTAACAGAGCCTCTACTTAAAAGCCAAACACATCAGACAGGACTCCTGAGAAGACTATGTGAGATGAACGATAACAGCAGAAGCACACAAGTATTTCAGGAAGGGCAAAGAAAGGTTTAGGTAACAGGATGAATCAGCTGCCCAAGCTGAGTCCCCTGAATCACCATCTCATGCTGCTTCCTTGGAGCCTTCAGGAGGCTCATGGTACCCTTCCTCCCTGGTGGGCACATGCCTGAACCAGGGCTGGGGTGGGTGTACATGTCAGAGAGATCCTGGAGGATTTTCCTGCATGGTGGGAGAGCTGAGCCCAGCTTGGGATTCACTTGACTGTGATCAAATGCCAGAATGCTTGAAACTGCCAACTGGGATGAAATATGCTGGGAAAAGAAGTCAAAGCCACTTAAAACAGGGTAACTCTGCAGTCAGGGTGGGTTCGTAAGCTTGCTTGAGAGGTGCCTGTCACAGCCTTCCTATCACTCTGCAAAGTGGACCAGGGTTCCTCTGGCGCTGTCTCTGCTGCTTTCCACAGTGAGGTCCTGAGGCAGGCACAGCCAGGCTGGTCAGGGTCAGGGTACCAGGGACAGCCTTCTTGTTCAGGGGTCGGGGTAGGGGGGTGACGACACACACAGCCCGCAGTGACTCAAACCAGAGAGATGAGGACAGTCTGCAGAGAACTTTCCATTCTGCAATTACTAACACTCCAATGTCTCCCATAGTGCATCTGAGACCCTGTTCATGCTATCCTATTGCATTAAGCTTTGCCCTTCAGGCTGCAGCACAAAACCCTCTGGCTGTTTCTGCTTGCTGCAGGTGACCCTGAGTGCATGGCTGAACATGACAGGTAGCATCATCCGGATGGTCAGCGTCCTGAAGTTCCTGAGTCTGGGGTCCCAGAGGTACTGGTACCTGTTTGTCGGACAATGCCTCTGTGCACTGGCACAGCCCCTTGTCATCTTTTCACCAACAAAACTAGCAGCACTATGGTTCCCGGACCACCAGAGAGCAACAGCAAACATGCTCGCATCGATGTGTAAGTGATAGCTGCAAAATAGTGTTGCTCTCTCCCAGAACCAGCCAGCATTTATTCGCCTTTGGGGACAACAGGCAGAAGAAACCCTCTGTACTGCAGCCAACTCACCCTGCAAATACGGCTTTGCCAAAGAGTCTCAGAGCCATGTGCAATAAATGGGTGCCTTCATGGTCTCACCAGACAAGCAGGGATTTTCATGCTGGGGAGCAAGAAGGGGACAGTTGCAAAGTTCAAAGTAAGCCACCTAGGCTCCTAGATCCTTTCCCTTCTGCCATGCCAAGGTGATCATCTTTGCCCAAATATCACAGAGGCTGAGGACACTGTTACTAAATCCAGTGTCTCTGCAGTGGCCCATACTCTGTAGTTTGTTAGTCTGGCGCCCAGACTGCAAGCGATGCTAGCTGTTGTGGCTGCCGATTCCTGTAACCCGGCAGAATTAAGGCTGCTGTGGCTTTGTGCCCCAGGGTTCAGCCAGCAGTGAGTCTGAGCGTGTATGGCAACAGGTATGCATACACGCATACAATATGCTGGCCACACAGATTGGCAGAGACAGAAAACAGCACTCAGTGAGGAACAACATGAATGGCCCAGTCCTGTTCCTCCCCTCAGGCTGAGCAGGATAGAAATCTGCTAGTAGACTATATATGTATAATATAGATCCACCCCATTAATGGCCTTAGACACCCAGCTTTCCCAGTACCAGTCCCCTGGATCCCTGGTCTCCCCGCTTGCTCTTCTCACCTGGGCTTGTGAACCACCAATGCCCACAGCCCCGCTCCAGCTGCTGGTATTGAGATTCCCTCGCACACACACTGCCATGGGTCTCTCCATTAGCTGATCCAGGCCTAGGGTCTCCCTAGACTCACATGCCCTGGGTCTCTCTATCCCCCAGAGCTGAGATCTCTCTAGTAGCTAGCTGGCAAACCTCTCATCCTGCTCAGTGGCTAGTCCAGCTAGAAGTGAATTACACATGCATTCACACAGACGGAGGCTCTAAGATTGCTGGGGAAACACACACACACACACACACACACACACACTTCAGTCTCTCCAGGTTCTGGCACCACAGATATGTGGTCCTTGAGACCCATGGCCCCCACCCCAGTAGCTTGCACTTAGACCTCCATGCATACATGAACACACAGGGTAGAGAGCCCTTCACCCAGGAAAACAGTTAGAAATACAGTTTGATGAGAAGAGAAGACAGACTGCAGAGATCAGGTGCAGGGCATGCTATGCAACTTGTTTACGTTGGACCAGCCAGCCCCCTTTATCCCCTTTTCTCTTTATTTTCTCTTACTTTTTTCTCCTCAGTCTACCTTCATTCCTCTTTTTTCTCATCTTTGGTCCTTCTCTTCAACATCCCGTTATAAGTCTTGTACGTTCCCACAATCCCTAAGTGCTTTCCTGTCGTGTTATAGTAAATCCTAGTCCCCTTATAGCAATAACCTCGGTTAGTTTGCAAGACATTTGGGAAAGAGAGCTTTCTCTCCTGGTCTCCTTGCGCTGGGTTTCACAGCCAAAGAATGGGCCAGTCACTCTCCTTTGATAGCCCTGGGAGTAGCTCAGGTAGTCAGTGTGCTCTGATTAGGCTATCCTCTGCTCTGATCAGTTTGCACTGATGAGGTTAGTGGGATTCCTCCGCTTATCACTGTTCATGTGATGGTCACTGGGCCTTCGTGTTTATGGTGATTAGCCTTTCATCACATAACCTGAGAAGGCCTGGGCAAAAGCCTCAGTGAAGTGGGTGACTTGATAGAGGCTGAACATAGAAGGCAGGCTCAAGGGGAATCATGGGACTGTCAGGCTCCCATCTGGAGTACACAGAACAATTTCAGAGGCTTCTCCAGGCCAAAAAATCATCAAGCTGAGATATCTGGGCTAGCGCAAGGCAGCCTGGCATACTCACTTGTTTCTTAACTATGTGTAGCGTTTGAAAGTTAATTAATTAACTTAACTTAGTTAATTTTAGCCACTGGTGCATTCTCCTGTGCATAGGAAAGCATCCTGATTTGCTGCATGTGAGCATAACTGTTTTGTTAGTGAGGAAAGAAAAAAAAAGATGACAGCACGCTGTACTCCAACTCCCCTCACGCTGCAACTGCTATTCTTTGGGGCCAGGGCTGGTTCTGCTGGGTGCTGCTAAACTTCCTGACCTTCCAGAAGACTTGTTGCTTGTCCAAACTTATTTCAAGGAGGGGACCTGTCCTGCGCAGCAAGGACCCGAATGGTCAGCTCTGGTACCCTTGCGGAGTTGCTGGAGGAATTGCCAGTCAGGCTAGCCTTCTTTCTCAGTTGGGAAATGGTAGCTTTCAGCAGTTTATATTCTCTGCCTTGGCTAGAATTGCCCCCTTTTGGCTTGGAGTTGGTTCTCACTTAGCAGAGGGGTTCCTCTGCAAGCTGGTAATATATACCACTGCTGGTTTCCACGCAAAGACCCACTCTGTCCATAGGAGCTCTAGGCCATTTTCCAAGAAAGATGCAACACTTTACCCTCAGGGAAAACAGGGCATGTGCAGCTGTGTTGCCTGTCCATCTGCCCTCCCAAGGAACTCTTAACTGAAATGGCCTCTAGACTCAAGAGCTCCAAGTGTCAGATGTTTGTGTGCGCGCAGTGTGGTACAGTCTGGTCTGAGTCCTGTCCTGTGGAAACTGGAGGCCAAAAGCTCTCAGGCACTTTCTGTAAATTAGCAGCCTGCCACTGAAGCCAGACCCACATGACAAGCCAAGCAGGCCTGCAGTGCACCCCCACTATCTGCTGTCTCTGCCTGGCCCAACTGCTGAGCAGGCAGCAGTCGGCACTGAACCAGGTGCAGCACACAGTGCCTCGTAGCCAGCTAGTTATTTGAGGATGCAAAAGGAGCTGGCGGTAGGGGAGTAATTTGGGAACTGTGGGGAAAAGTAGGAAGACCTAGGGTTTTGTAGTGGAAAAGAAGGGAAGGACATATGTATTAGTAGAAAATCAGTTTTACTCGTCTGACTGTTTGCAAAAGATCTCCTTAAAGTTAGAAAATTATCCCCTACGATTTTGGACATTCCCAAGCAGAGTCAGCAAGTGGTATTCCACACAGTACTCAGCTCCAACCCCATAGGCTGGGCTTTACTGAGGAAATGTTTTGGCTTGCAAGCAGTCAGGAATGAGCTGGTGTCAGTTCAGAGCGCTCTCATAGGGCTTTCTTACTTTTCGTGCCTATGTGGCATAAAAGGCCAATAGCATCATGAGCAGCATTAGGAAGAATGTTGCCCCGGACCACATCTGGAGCACCGTTTTCCAGTCTGAGCTCTCCAGTGAAGAAGTACACAGATGCACTGGACCGAGTCCAGTGAAGAGCCACTAAGATGATGAAGGGTTTGCAACATCCAGCATATGAGGAGAGGCTAGCAGAGCTGCAAGGAGACTGGAGAAGGCTCTGGAGGGAACATATCAATGGATATAAATATGTGATGGGAAGGTGTAGAGCAACTGGAGTCAGACTTGTCTCAGTGGTATCTAGTGACAGGACAAGAGGCAGTCGGCACATACTAAAATACAGGAAATTCTGTTTACATATAAGGAAAAGCTTTTTAACTGTGAGAGTAGCTGAAGACTGGAACAGGTTGCCCAGAGATGTTGTGGAGTCTCCACCCTTGGAGATATTCAAAACCCAACTGGACAGAGCCCTGAGCAATCTGCTCCAATAGACCCTTCTTTGAGCAGGGGGGTTGGACTGGATCATCTCTAGAGGTGCCTGCCATCTCAGCGATTCTGTGATTTGGTAAGTCTCTGTGCACTTTTGACTTTGGCAGAACTGCCTATGCTCCACAGAGAACATTGCTGTAGTTCAGCATGGTACCTCAGTTACACCGGTTGAGCTCTGGCACGTGTCACACACCATTAGCATCCTCCTGTTGAGCACAGCTGGGAAGGTGGTCGTGCTAACATGCTGCACCTGGCATGTGCAAGCATTGACCTGGACGCCTGGTCTTCTGAAAATGTGAAATATAGCTGTGGTAGCTGCTTACCCAGCAGTAACATGAGTTCTCATTATTTTAAAAGGGATGTTTTGCTGTACTTTTTTTCTAGAATAAATATAAGTTCACAGAGCCACCAAATGATGGAATGTTTGTTACTCATGAGAATGAAATTGCTAAACACATCATACGGCTGTGGCAGAAGGTGACCAGGCAATTCTCCTTGACACCTATCACTTTGTTTCCCACCAGTCCTGGTCAGAGTCTCAACAAGCACACTGTTTGTGGGGGAAGGTTAGGATGGACCAGCTGTGGTTTGGTTCTTTCTCCCGACCTGCAAGTTGCTTACGGAATGCTGTTTTTCTGCTTACTGTGAAGGACTCTCTGATATGCTTTTTGTTTTAATGCTGTCTGGCTCTGGCTCTGACTCTGGATAACCACACTGCAGGAATGTGTGAAATGAATGAGGAAAATGCTGTGCCAGGGAAGCAGGCAGGGGATGTTAAGCTAAGAGAAGGCTGAGGAGGTGATATGTGAGGGCATCCCAGTGTGTTCAGAGGCAACCCAGCTAATGCTGGGGTACCCTCTCTTCTAGCGCCAGGTTCAAGTGGGAATCTGAGGATGCCTAGGGAAAGTGCCTCTATTAGTGCAATGACGTCAGGACAGATGGCTTGGATAGGTCCATCTTCATTTTGTCACTTCAGCTTGGTGTTTACAGGGGGAGCCTTGTGAAAATGGGGACATCATAAATCACAGATGAAAACCAGCTTCCTGTTACAGTAGTTAGGGGCCATAGGAAAATGTATTTCTGAGATGGATATCATGGGAGTGGGGAATCATATGTGGCAACAATGCGATCTCATAGTTGACTTCTGTGTTCCCCTCCCGGTTTCTCCATGCATATAGCTTGCTCTGTCCTTACTTGTTGCTGCTCTGCTGCACCCTGCAACACTGGTGCTGACTGGTAGAAGGGGTGGACACGTGATTCTGACTGCTCACGTGAAAACAAGTGTCTTTTTTTATTCTCTTACAGCCAATCCCTTGGGTATTCTCATAGCAAACGTGCTATCACCTGCGCTAGTTCCAGAAGGAAAGCACATCCCACTGATGGTAAATGAAAACTGGTTTAATCAGGCAGCTGGGCTGTTTGAGGTCCAGCTGGTTTATATATTTGCAGGCAGTGGAGCTGGAAAGACTGGTAACATATCTTTGTATTGTGTTGTGCAGCTTGGTGTTTATGCTATCCCAGCAGTAACAGCCTGTGCTCTGGCAACTGTTGGGATTCATGAGAAGGTTCCTCCAACGCCTCCTTCTGCCAGTGCCACTAATTCTACCTCTCAGCCATTCCTTGCAGGGCTCAAAATGGTAAGTGCCATAGCGCAGAGAGAAATCATCACTGCAGTGAGGGTTGTGCTGGGGAGTCTGCCAAGAAAGCAGACTCTGAACCTTGCCCCACCAAACCTGCCATGGACAGTCCCTTGAAGGAGATGAAGGTCTCTTCCTTCCTCGAGGAGTAAGCATCTGCTCAAAGCAGAGCTGGGGGAGATGCTATCTGGCTATTCAGCCATGGACTGGCTGCTGTTCAGTTGGCTCAGACAGATAAACTTGGGCTCCTCTAAGAGGGCCACAACCCTGAGCCATCTGAGCAGACCACATGCAGGTAGCAAGGCACATGGCAAAGTGAAGGGTAGAACTTCAGGGTACTGTGCAGTCCCCTCTGCTCTACACAGTACCTATTTTTTCTTGCCCTTTGGCTGGGCTTAAAATCCCCCTTGACAGCAGAAAGCCAAATTCCTCTAACGCTCACGGGATTGCCCTCTCCACCTTTCTAACTGAGGAATCAGAGACACTGACCTTCAAGTGCACTGTCACAGCTGGGTCTTTCTTTCCCCTCCACTTCTTTTAAATTATGTGGTAACTTCTTTTTCTAGCTCCTGAGAAACAAGTCATACATCATCCTGGCTGTTTGCTTTGGAGGAGGAATTGGGATGTTCACCTGCTTTTCAGCTTTGCTGGAACAGATCCTCTGCGAAAAGGGATATTCAAATGTGAGTCTATCTGTCTCCCTTCTTCCCCACTTCCCACATGATCTATGATACAGTCAAACATTTTGACTGTATGAAGACAGGTGAATATGCTGCACTGTCTAGCACTCATTTCCTGATAATAACTACTATAGGTTAAGCAGCACATTAATCCAGAGCGCAGTCAGGCTTTCAGTATAACAGATGATCAGCATCTTCCTTACTGCCCTTGGCCAGGCCCCCATTTGCAAATGAAACGCCCTCTCTCCCTGGACCCTGTTGAGGAAAGAAGAGTGTTGGGGTTTCTTCTAAGCCACTGCAGAGGACTGCTGCCTATGCAGCCCTCTGACCCCTTCCCCAGAAGCGATGAAGGCCCATACAGGCCACGGAGTGAGCAGGCAGTTGGAGGCAGCCTGATGCAATTGCCTTCTCTGCCCAGTCTAAAGCAAAGGCATGGCAGCAGAGGAGGGCGCAGGTGCTGTGACAGCTCTGTTTCTCCAGGCTCTCTTCCTTCCCAAGGCCCTGGCTAAATGCTGCCTTCAGGGTTGAGCACAAGGTGTTCACAGCCAGTTCCACCTGCTCTCTCCCTGCCACAGCAGGGCCTATCCCCACAGAGGGCCTCTTAAAACACCTCTCCAGCTGTTGCACCTGCATATCTACCTATCTGCTCTCTGTTCCTCTCCCTCTCAATTTCCTACAACTATCTGATACCCAGCTCATCACTGTAAACTCTTGCCACACAGCCTGGTCACACTGGCTCAGTCCACTGGCTTTTCACCAGAAACCTTCCAAGCTTCCCAGCCTTGCTTTTGGTGCAGTGCAGTGCTTTTATCTGTGTGGACTGGCCTGCCCCAGCCCTGCAACAGAGCCCGCAGGAGCTCTTCCAGACACCTTTTCCATCTACTCTGCCCTTGAGGCTCCCAAAAATGTTTACTCAAATTTATTGAAGCCTCTCTGTTTTCAGACTTGGTGTCTGCTTTCGACTCCTTCTCAAGGAGCTGAAAGGGGGAGAACAAGCAAGGACAGACAGTCATGGCAGGCAGTAGAGCACAGGTCCTATCCTTGCTGCCACCCACTGCTTCTCTGCTCAGACCGCTCTGCCCCGGCCGGCCTGTGCAACATCTGGTATAACAGTCTTTGGGCAACCAGCCTTATGGTGGGCAGTCAGCCAGTGCAGGTTCCTGGTAAGATAAGGGCTCAGAGCATGGTTATAAATAGAAGATCCCAAAGAAGTTGGATTTGCTGCCACTGCAGGTGTGGACCAGGTACTTGGTCCTGCTGGAGGAGCCAAGAGCCCCCTCACGTGTGAGATGGAAGCTTTCAATGCCAGGAAACTGCTGCTACCCCACACCAGACTACCTTGTCAGGTGTGCAGAAACTCATCATCCACTGAGAACCTGGGATTGCTTGTGACCCTGTTGTGCACAGGCACCTGTAGCAGCAGTCATTCTAGGGCAAGTTATTTGCTTGTCCTTGCTTGGCCTAGTGGAGGCCTTGGCTATTGCAAAGGGCAGGGAAATCTGTCCTGCCTCACTAAGTGACCCACCAGAAGCAGGCAGATGGGTCAGTGACATTAAAACCTCTCTACCTTCCAGCTTTAGCTGCTCACTCACTTGTCCTTCTGCCCTGCAGGTATTTGCTGGCCTGAATGGTGCATTGTTCACCACCTGCGGTTTGTTGGGTGCCTTCCTATTAGGACTGTATGTCGACCGAACAAGGAAGTTTATAGAATCCACCAAGATCTGTTTCTGTCTGAGTGCACTCGCTAGCATCGTGTTTGCAGTGGTGAGTTCTCCCTTGCATTGTGCCATATCTGTGGGCCTACTTGCCATCTGATAAATCATCAACTCGAAACAAGGTCACTTGATGTCATGGTATTTATTAAGCTACCTGTTATGTTTCAGGAATGTCTCCATGGGGAAGGAATGTTTTAAAGAAAAACCCTTTCCTGCACATTTCACAGAGTCACAAAAAATGTTTTAGGTTAGGAATAAATGGGTTTAGTTTACTTCCTTCCATTGGATTGCCATTTTTGCTTACTGTCCTCAGGGTCATTCTTGTCAAAAAGGCAATGGAATTGCTAAGCATCAGTATTACAAAAGTGAACAAGATGGCCATAGTTTTCCCAATGCCTCCCTTTAACAATGATGGCTGCCCAGAGTCTAAGGCCAGCAGAAAGGACCTGGTCAAAACAGAGATGCTGAGCAAGAAAAGGGGGCTGCATTAATCCAGCTAGGAGAGGAAGGCAGAGCCTGGAGACTTCATACCCATGGGACTGGAGTGCAGGTGCTGGACACAAACCCATTCACTCGCCAATGGGAGCCATCACCCAGCAGGAAACTGAGCAGGAGGCATGAGGCTCTGGGACCTGCAGAGGTCCAAGCTGGTGCAGGCCTCTGTTTTCCCAACAGACTTGTGCTGTGCGTTTCTCCTGCTTGCTGAAAAACGCAGACTACCTTATAACACAGGTGTGATTACTCTTCCTACTGAGCCAAGATCCCCGTGATGTTAGCTCCACTTTGCAGAGACAGACAAATGTTATGCCTTGCTCACTATAGGAAGGGGTGCCTGATGCAGACCTCACATTCCCTTCTTCAGTGCTCTGGCATTTTGGATGCTTTGAATACAGGTCAGCATACTTGGACTCAGGCAGAGCACAGAGTAAACATGAGACTGTGTCAGGAGAAACAAGTAAATGCTTCCCGCTTCCCTTCTCCCTTCTCCCTTCTCCCCTCCCCTCCCCTCCCTTCCTTTGCCTTCCCTTGCCTTGTCTTCCCTTCTCTTCCCTTCCCTCCCTTCTCATCTCCTCCCATCCCACCCAAACAGGTGAAGAACTCATTCAAAGTAGGAACACAAAAACAACACATCCAAATCTGTTTGATATCTTGATGCTTTGAACTAGAATTCCAGACAAATAAAGTTTTCCATGTGCTTGGCTGCTGCTTTGCCATTAACCAGCGTAGCTGGGACAGGCCTCCTGCAGCTATGTCAAGAGACACACCTAGTGTTCCCCTGTGGGAATGTAAATCATGGGTAATGAAGGAGACACCAACCCTATGGTGGCAGGAATTACCCTCTTGGCATTTCTAGCATTGGCTGGACAAGGCCGTACTCCTTCCAGCAGACTGGGGATGAGGTTGTTTTAGGAACTAAACTAATCACCAGCGTCTGTGGATGATTCTGATGTCACTAGCTTTTTTCTTTTTTTTAATAATACCTTAGTGTTACAAAAGTGAGTCTGACCATGGGACCCTGTTTGAAGGGTGCCAAGATTGACCATGGGACCCTGTTTGAAGATCAACAGCTGATAGGGAGCGATGGGATCCACCTTACCAAGCAGGGCACGCGTGTCTTTGCCAACAGATTGGCCAGCCTGGTACGGAGGGCTTTAAACTAGGCAAGATGGGGGAAGGGGAGTGGTATAGTGGCAGAGGAGTCAGTAAAACACCGCTCAAGTCAGGATGCCTCCAGCGGGTGCATACAACCAGGGGAGACAGCATGGGACATGGCTATGGAGGATCCTCTTGCACCTCTTCTGGGAAGCCTGCGTGCTTGACTGGCTCTCTGAAATGCCTGTATACCAATGCACGCAGCATGGGGAATAAGCAGGAAGAGTTAGAGATCTGTGTGCGGTCGCAGGGCCATGATCTCATTGCAGTTCCAGAGACATGGTGGGATAGTTCACATGACTGG